AATATTGAAAAATCTACCTGGTTATATGTTTTAATATTGTATTTTTTTCAGTAAGAAGGTAGAAATACGAATACTAGTTAGGAATGGAAAGGGAGAACTCTGGCAACACTGAAGGAATTCTTTCAGAATTCTTGGGGTGAAGTTTTAATAGGAGATGGGTGAAGGGCTAGATGACTGAAGACAGAGTTAGATCAGACTTCTTTTGGTTTCACCTGGCCTATCTTCATGACATGGAGTTCAAGCTTCCTGACAGGTAAATGGTTTCAGACTTAGCTAAATGGAATAGGTAATCCTGTGATGTAGTGGGTTATCCTTTACTTGGGATTTTTGAGCTAAGGCTAGATGACCATTTGTCAAGTATTTTTTAAAGGGAATAATTTTTTAGGTGTGAACTGAGCTAGATGAACTACAAGGGGGGAAGCTAGGTGGTGTGATGGATAGAGCTCTGGCTTTGGAGTCAGGAGGATCTGAGTTCAAATCTAGACTGAGACACTTGACACTTACTAGCTGTGTGACCGTGGGCAATTCACTTAACCCTGATTGCATCACCAAAAAAAGCAAAAAAAAAATAGATGAACCACAAGGATCCTTCCATTTCTGAAATTCTGTGATTCTGTGAAACAGCTTCTGTATTCTGACCTAGTTCAAACTAGGAGCAAGTTAAGTAGTAGATGTTTGCCCAAAACTCTGAGTTCAGTACTACTGAAGGAATAATACTATCAAAAGATTAAAATGAAGGGCTAGAGCAGTGATTCTATCTTTTTTGGAGCTCCAATAAGCTTATTTGCTTGATTTCTCAGCCCATTTCCAAACACTGAATTAAAATTAATTTTATGCAAGGTTCATGGATTAAGAATTAGACAGGACCTTACATGTCATGTAATTCGAACCTGTATTTGACAGATAAAGGAATGTGAGGCCTAGAGAAAGAGAAAGACCTGACCAGGGTCAAAATGGAGCAGGTCAAAACTCCTGTGTAGATAGGTCAGGTTCATGGGTGGCTACTGTGCTGCCAGCCTGGGAGAGATGGGGAGACTCTGTTTCAAGAAAGAAGAAAGGAAGGAAGGAAGAAATAGAGAAGAAAGTGAGGGAGGGAGGAAGGAAGACAGGAAAAAAGGAAAGAAAGAAGAAAGGAAAGAAAAGAACAAAGAAATTAGTTTCATTTCTATAAGACATCTTAGAATCTCACAAAGCTCTAGTTGGAAATCACTAGTCTAGAGACTGCAACTTACCTGGACATTTTGTTAGCAAAGTATGAAGGTTGGATGGAATGAAGAGCTACTGGTTGATGGGGTCTGTCTATGGGTATGTATATATGTGTGTGTGTGTGTGTGTGTGTGTGTGTACATATATAATATCCATATTTATATCTATTTTTACTTAGAAATTCTACACAGAGGTCAAATGGCATGTGATGGTTTAGTTTGAGGTATGGTGAAGTTTTGGGGAGAAAAAGTTTCAGTCTTCTAGATAGGCTCCCACAAGTAGATCTCTTTCTTTATTAGTTTGACAATCTCTTATTTGTGATTACACTCTTCCTTTCACCCCCGTGTAATTACATATCAATGTATTTGCCTTCCAGCTGTAGCTATAAATTGCCTTATTTCAAACACTGTATTCACAAGAGATTTATGGGAACTGATGTTCCCACTGCCTATTTATTGTTCTTAATTTAAGGTGATCTCCTCGTATCTCTAGGGAAATTTACAAAGAGATATCTGTTCTTTATATTTTAAGGACTTAGATATACATATACTTATAAAAATCTATGATTAATTAAGGAAGAGATAGGGAATGTTTTTTTTTCTTTCTATTGAAATCCACTGATCCAGGGGAAAATATTAATAAAATAAAGACCAATATAAAATATTGTTTTTCCTCCAAGTAATATAACCCATTCAAATCATCTATATATCTCTATCTATCTATCTATCTATCTATCTATCTATCTAAGATCAGAGCAACATAATTCTAGATCTAGAAGAGACCTCAAGAGTCATTTAATCTGACCCCTCATTTTATAGATGAGGAAACAGGCTCAGGAAGGGTAACTAACTTTCCTGAAACCACATATATACTTTTTACCTATTATAATTTACAAAAAGTAACAACATAGAACATTATTTTCCTTTTATTTAATCAGTGTAAGTATGCTTCAGTTCTATGGTATGGCCAATTTGCTGTGACTTTCATTCTAAGACTTATTAAGTCTCCCTTTCTCTATAAAATTCTTTTCCTACTCTTGTCTCTTATGAATTTCTCCCTTACAGCAGAGGTATGTAAGAAAAATGGGGAGGGACAACAGAAAGGCATAGATTGACTAACAGAAGGAGAGAACAAAAGGGGGAGAATGAAGAAGAGAATGTATGTAGACATATGGAGGAATAAGAGAAGAGACAGAAAAAAGAAAGTGGCAGAGAGAAGACAGATACAGGGCTGGAGGAAGAGAGAGAAAGAGGAAGGGGAATATGTGGTAAAGGAAGAAATAGACAGAAATTGGGTCACTAACAGTAAACAAGACAGACAATGAGAGAAAGACAAGCTAAAAGAGGTTCTCAGTGAGACTAATTTACCAATTAGTGTTATTTGATGATCATACCACTTGGTCTGTGATTTTTAGCGTATTATCATCCATTACATATTGTCCTTAGTCACTACTCATAAATCTTCAAATGCTCTAATCCTTAAACCTTTATTTTATTTTGTTTTTTACATTAAAATATTTTCAGGTCCATATTCTCTCCCTTTTATCTCCTCTCTACCCCAATATTGAGAAATCAATAAAAATAAAACCCCATTACTTATGTATAGTTAAGGGAAACAAGTTCCTCATTGGTCATGTTGAAAAAAAATCCAAAAACCAACAGCTTAATTTATACTGAGTCCATCATCTCTCTATGAGGAGATAGGTAGCACATCCACTCTACTTTGGATGGAGTTATCACAGGGCAGCCACTCATGGTAGAACTTTTCCTCTGTGGTACAACAAGGACCAGATAATTTTTTCCCTAGGTATCAGATAAAACAAGGTAAGGATTGGCCTTGGGTTCAAGATTCCACAGTTATGAAATGAAGAATTTGGCCTTTCTTTCTTTAAAAAGGGATTGCATTGTAACTCCCTTATCACCAACATGTATAAAATCCACAAATTGAGGGGAAGACTCAAATAGGGATCATAGTAGGGCAAGCTTAAAGAAAATGGTAATGTTATGATACCTGTAAAGAAGTACATCATAAATAAAGAAATTACATAAATAAAGAAATTACATTACCCTGTAATTAGTACTTAAGTAATCAGTGAAACATATTAATGTTGGTAAGGGAGTATCAATTCTTCCCTCCCTTCCTTACTACTCTCCTTTCAATTAATCTGTGCATATATAAATATATACCAAAGAAATACTAGGTTGTTGTTGGGTTTTTTTTTTTCCTGAGGGGGAGTCATATTGAAATATTAGCAGCTGGGAGAGATCAGGAAAGGTTTCGTATAGAGGGTAACACTTGAAGTAAGCCTTGAAGAAAACTAGGATTTCTGAGGCAGAAGTAAGGAAGAACTGTATTCCAATCCTGGGGGACAGCCTGGACAAATGCTTGGAGAAGAGAGGTAGATTGGCATGTGTGAACAACAGCAAGAAGTCCAGTTTGCCTAGAAGACAGAGGGCGTGAAGGGGAGTAATGCGTAATCGGGCTTAGGTTGGGAAGGGTTTTAATGTCAAAGAGAGGTTTGTATTTAACCCTGCAAGTAATTGCAATCTATATCTATCTACATCTGTATCTGTCAATATATGGGTAAATATACTTATCTATGTATGTATGTATTTTCTTTCTCTCCCCCCCACCTGTGATTTCAAAAGTGTAGGGAATTCTTAGTGTGGGAATTCGGTTTATGAATGCAAATCAGTGACAACTCATCTGTAATTTAAAGCCTTCCCATTGTCTGTGACATTGAAAAAATACAGTACTTGACTATAATCACATTATTATCATGAACAACAACAAACATTTATTAAGCACTTATGACATTTTACTAAGTGCTGGGGATGCAAAGAAAAATGAAATCATTAATGTGCATCAGAGACAAGACTCGAACCTGGCTCTTCCTGTTGCCAAAACTAGCTCTCTCTCTGTTGCTATTTTGCAGCTCAGACAAAGGCTCCCAGATGTATTGAAAGTATCAAAATAATAGTTCTTTGCTTTTTCAACTGGCATAAATCATTACCTGCCCTGAGTGAACAGGGATTTGTAAGATGCAGTTACTAAAATTATTGAGCAGCGACATTTATTAAGTACGCGTCCCATGGAACCTTAATATATTTGATTGATGCTGACAATGACAACATGTCTTCTTTCATGGGTGTCCAGAGTCTTTGTGTCCAACATTCCATGGACTCCATGGTAATCTAAAACCTGTGGGAGGTTTCCATCCGTGGGGATGTAATACATAATAGCAATTCCTCTGAATTTTCTATTTGGAGTGATTGGGTACACTCTGGTGGTTTGAGCAGCTGTTATAGTGGTGAATTACCTAGTTCAACAGGAATCCCATTCCTGTGGGAATCTAGATCACCAAGCGAGTAGTTAATCAGAGTCTATATAATAGCACTATGTATAAAAAATATAAAAAAATTCTGTCTGCTCAACTCTAAAGCGACATTGCTAAGCGGAACAAATCACTTCGCAGTCATTTACTTCGTGCCATTATGGAATAATCTATATCGTGTGTCAGTTCTCAATAGGTACGCATTCACTTATTCCTTAGCTTGGTAAAATTATTTGGGCATACCTCACTTTATCTAACAGCTATATTCCTGGAAAGTTAAATTCATAGGAGGTTTGGGCTAGAAGGAGACTTAGAAGCTGTTTAATTCAAACTATTTTATAATTGAAGAAACTGAGGTCCAGACAGGTTAAGTGATAGCCTGGGTTAATAGGATCATGGGTATAGAGTTGATAGATGTCTTGGAGGCCACCTAATCACTTCTTCTTCTTCTTCTTTTTATAGATGAAGAAAATGAGGCTCAATGAGATTAAGAGATTTCTCCACGGTCACAAAGGTAATAAGTGGCATAGCTAAGATTTGAACACAGGATCTCTGATTATAAATATAGAGCTTCTTCACACATCTAGAAAATTTGTGAAAAGCACATTTCTGAAAACTGAACAATACTTCAGGGGAGATTGCTATTTCAAGCAAAGCTTTGCAGTGAATCCTTCCATAAAACCACAATGGAAAATTATTCAATGGAGTGGATAACCATCTCCCAATGTATATTTCGAGGCATATATTTTCATAAATGATATTAGTTTTTTTTTTTTAAACAAAGAATGCCTGTGTATGGTGTGGTACAATTGGCTATTTATAATCATTGTCTAGTCTTTGAAATAAGCATACTTGTAATAACAAAGGACCTCCTTGCTTGATAAAATATAGATTAAACAAAGCTCTGTGGGGCTGATTAACATATTTCACTAGCATTTCTAGTCTTATGTTCTGTTAATTGGTTACTATTGTTCCATTTAAGGGGGCTGTATAATCTTTCTTTATGGTCAACTAGGTGGCACAGTGGATAGAGAGCTGGTCTTGAAAACTCATTTTCCTGAGTTCAAATCTGGCCTCAGACACTTATTATTTGTGTGACCTTGGGCAAGTCACTTAACCCTGTTTACCTCAGTTTCTTCTTGTGCAAAATGAGCTGGAGAAGGAAATGGCTAAATCCCTTCAGTATTTTTGCTAAGAAAACCTCTAATGGGGTCACAAAGATTCAGATACAACTGAAAACATCTAAACAACAACATAGCCTTTCTTTCATGATTATCTCTCCTTTTAAATATTCCCCTTTGTCCCAAGAACTATTTAGCAGACAAAAAAAAATTTCTCCTTCTTCTCAAACTCTGGGACAGTAACAGGAAGTATTTCCCATATCTTTGTCTTTTCCTTGGGACTGATTCAAAACTAGAAGGCTTTGTCCTTGTAAGTTGGGTCAGGATGCTGTGAATGGATATATTTTCTGCAGAAATAGCGCAGGGTATCAAATTTTAATTACATTTTTTTGAAGGAAAGAAATAACATGGCCTTTCTGCACTGCAAAATTATCACTTTTGTTCTAGCAGAGTTATGACACTTAAATTCTGGCCTCAGTAATTTTAAACAATGCTACTCCAATGCCGAGAAGAACACATTTACCCACAGCCACCTGCTCAGCTCCTAGCAGAAAGTACAGTTCTCCCCAAACGTTGTTTTAGTCATTAAGTTTTTCAGTCCGTATGAAAGTGTCTTAGTTGTTTAAGTGTGCTAACCTAGGCAGTAAACAAATAAGCAAACAAACAAATAAGTTATCCGGGAGATAACTTTTTTTGTAGACTGGGTGATTAATGGATATTTGAAGGCTGCATTCCTGGTGCTGCAAAATCTGTGGTAAGCGCACCTGCATTTTTAAGCCTGGATGCTTAATGAAACTGTTTGCACAACGGAGGTGCAGCCTGAGCTGCTCCAAGTGCTTCATCACAATGAGGTCCAAGGTATGCTTCGATATTGCAACAGGAACACTCTGAAGCCAGACACATCACGCAGCCATACAGATTTCCACATCTACAATGACTCCCATAAAACATCCCTCAGGGTTTCAGTATTTGCTTAGGAATGGTAAGGTAATCAAGTGGAGATGTTAGCAATATGTGTCTTGCATTGGAAACTAGATTAGAATTCATTCATTCACTCCCCTTTATGTAAGTATTTATTGAGCACGTATTCTGTACAATTCACAACACTAGACAATCATACAATAAAACAGGTCCCAGTTCACGAAGGGCTTATAATTCAGTAGGGGAGATGTAGTCATAACATGTGGTCATATTTAACAAGTGATGTATAAGAGGTACAATCAAGTGTTAGAGGAGTTCAGAAAAGGAGAGATAAAGGAAGTCTTATTATTTGAGTAGGAATTTGAAAGGTAGGATTTTGACATGCGGAGTTTGATGGGAATAGCAAGAAATGATACAGTGTGGAATCCTGTGGAAAAGAGCTTGGTGAATACTTTGGAGTTTAAGGAACGTTTCAGGCAGTAGTGGAAGATAAGGCTAGATTAGGAAAGTTGGGATCAGACTGTAGAGGGTAAGCTAAGGAAGTCAGAATTTACCTCTTGTAGATACAGGTCAGGAGAGCCTTGCCTTTAGTTCTCTCTAATTCAGGAGTGGGGAACCTGTGACCCTCTAGGACCTCAAGTGAAGCCATTTGACTGAATCCAAGCTTCACAGGACAAATTCTTTTTTTAAGGGATTATTTGTTGTTATTATTTGAGCAAGTTTCTCACCCCTGCTCTAGTTGAACCATTGCTCTCAGAGGGGAAGTTTTTTGTCACATGCTGTAAGCCTGGTTGTTTATTGCTGTTTAGTCTTTGTTCAGTCCTTTCTATTGGTGAACCCATTTGAGGTTTTCCTGGCAAAGATACTGGAATAGTTTGCTATTTTGTTTTTCAGCTCATTTTACAGATTAGAAAACTGAGGCAAACAGGGTTAAGTGACTTGCCCAGCATCACCGAGCTGATAAATGTTTGAATCCAGATTTGAACTCAGGAAGATGAATCTTCTTGACTCTAGGCACAACACTCTATCCACTGAAGCTGCCCCAAGTCTGATTGTCTAATAAGTTTAAAAAAAAACAGAACTCTGATTTCATTGGTGTGGGGAGTTATGGGTACTCCCACTATCAATGGAAATAGACAACTTGTTCTGCAACTTTTAGTCTTATAGAGTTATCTGGATGACTGAGAAGTTCAATAATTTGTTCAATGTAACAGTGAGTGTCAGAGGTAAGGTAGTGAGGTGGCCCTGTGGATAGAATTCTAGTCCTGAGTCAGGAAGACTCAGATATATCTCTAGCTATGTGACCCTGGGCACTTAAATGAAGGTGCTTTGCCAATAACACTTATCTCCCAGGGCTGTTGTGAGGATCAAATAAGTTAGTAATTGCAAAGTGCTCAACACAGTAAGTGCTATACAAATGTTATCATTATTAGAATTTGAGCCAACATCTTTTGGATTCTAAGGCTAATTCTTTATCTGATATAATGCCTTTATGAAAACGTAATCCCTACCCTTGAACTAATTGCTTTATAAAGCTGCATCTCATAGATATACATGGTTTTTACTTATATCACACACTATTTTTGCTTCTACTGTTCTCTATAGATTTTTTTTTAACCCTTTGAAGTTTGCTTTAATTTTGTTTTTTTTTTTCCTTGAGGCATTGATTATGACTTAGTGATAGGGAACGTTGGAACTTCAGGTCAGAAGAACTGGACATAAGTCCTGGCTCTTCCATTTATTAGTTGTATAACTTTGGGCAAGTCACTTAAACTCTCTGAGTCTTACTTTCTGCTTCTGTAAAATGGGGACAATAATCCTCATGCCATCTTTTTTTCAGGTTATGGTAAGGATCAAGTGAAGTAATATGTCCAAAAGCCTTGTACAAATGTAACAACATAGAACTTCTGCAGGGCCTAGGGAGAGAAGAAGCTCATCCTGTCCATCTCCCACTAAGGAGTCTCTCTTTCAGTTCTAGACCCAGGCTGGATTCAATCCTGGAGCAGCCTGGACTCTGAAGAGAGAAGTCAGATTCTTTTTTTCTCAAATTCTCAAATTCTCACATTATGTCCCCGTCCCAGAGCCCCTGGGAGAATCACTTAAGTGTCTAAAGTCTTCCCAAAATGGAGGAGTAGAAAGGTATTCAATGTTCGAGGCGGATCATAAGCTGTACAATAGGATACCTATTTATTTTCTCCACATGAAAGAAATATTTAACTCCCAAGCTCCTTTTGATAAAATCCTAAAAACAAGCAACAGTAATTTACAACTATGGTTAAACTTTCCATGGAGGTTGAGACTTAAAACATCAAGGAATGAAGCAGTTTTCAGGATTATTGAATTGGCATTTCACCTTTGACTCCTCTCTTAACTATCTTCCTAAAGGTCTGTGTCTTCTGTTAAGCTAGGACAGGGGTTAGAATCCTTTTTTTTTTTTCTGTTGGTGATCATCCTCTCTGATGCAGAAATTCCTCCTGCTTCCATTCTAACCCAGGAGCCTTCAGCTCACAAGCCTCCCTCTAAGACTGGAAATGTCCATTGGCCACCTATGCTAAGGAGAAGAAACAAAATAGAAGAGGTAGTCAGGGGTCCAAATTCCATTTGCCACAGGACACATGCCTGTTGTCATGTGCTCAGAGGGGCCATTTCTGCTGGGGAGAGCACATACCCACCCTCACAGGAAACAACCGAGAGGAAGTCTGACATTCTACAACAGAGTTGTCAAGAGCAAATAGAAATGGGCTACTTATCTGTACATAAGGATCCCTGTAGGCCACATATTGACTTAGCTTTAAAATGTAATATCTATTTTTGTATTCTTATTTATTTTGTTAAATGTTTCCCAATTACATTTTAATCTGGCTTGGGCTGCACTCGTGAGTGTTGTGGGCCACGTATTTGACATTTCTGTTCTAAACAATCTGGAGAGAGGAAAAAAAAAGAGAGCCAGAGGGTAGAGTCACTCCTTTTAAGTTCTATTGATTAGGCGGTTCTTCTTGGTACTGTGCCCAGCACTCTTTGACAAGCAGCCTGCCTCCCTAAACACACGTGCACAAACACACACATACGTGCACTCACGCACGCATGAAGAAGTCAAGTGACTAACATGGTTAAAAAACCAAAGCCTGTAGTGTTTAGCTAGATGTGCCTCTGGAAGTTTCCAGGGTGGCTTAGTGAATGTTTCATGGGATTCCCCTTGCCAACTCATGGCTCATAGGGTGTACTCCAATCTCATGCTACGTAGCTATGAGCTGATATCATGGATGTATTGTTTGTTGACTTAAGCTTGAAGGAAATATTGTAGAACAAAAACATGGTGAGACACGGAACATGAGTCTTTTTTCTAAAAGTACTTAATCTGGGAAATATTTTTTGTCTTGGATTTAGATTTTGAGGAAAGGTTTGAATTCTATTTTGAAGTGTAAATTTGCATCCTAGGAAATGCTCAATTTGCTATCAATTAAATTTTTTT